TCCCTTACATGTACATGTATCACGATTTCGTGTTCTTTTCGAGACAGTTCTTAACTTTTTACATCTATATATAGATATAAGAAGATGTGGTATGAGTGCCAATGAGACAACTCTCCATCCAAGTCACAATGTATAAAAGTAAACCATTATAGGTCAAAGTACGGTCTTCAACACGGAACCTTGGCTCACACCGCACAGCATACCTTTTACTCTATCAAATGATCAAATGACCAAATATTCTTATTTTCTATAGAATAACAGCCACGTACTTTACAATGAGTTGGGGAGGGGGTATAATATTTAATCTAGATCCTCAGTTTAAAAAAGAATTATGTTGCCAGACAAAAGAAAGAAAGCAATTATTCTGAATAGTTCGTTAAAAAATGTTGAAAAAATAATCTGCTTTTCCGCGATAAAAATGTCAGGAAAAAAATGAAAAAAATATAGCATCCCCTTTTCATAACTAAGTTGATACAATAAATTACTTACAAAGTGTCTTGTATTTTTCATACACCGTAACAATTCATTTGTGTCTTACTTCATGCAGTGAAAGTAATATTTTTTTTATTGTAACTGGATAATGATTTCTAAAGTTTAGACAATACTTGGTCATGTTTTATGTAGATTTAAAGCCCAAGGCGTAGCCGAGGGCTTTAAATCTTCATAAAACATGACCAAGTATTGTCTGACCAATTTAGAACATATTCACACTTTCGAGTGACCTTTCAAAATTATCCTTTCCCATTGTAATATTCAAAACTAAATAAGAATTCACTTTTTATAACGAAGTGAGTATATAACATAGGTAATGCCATTACAATGGTTTGAATGAAATAGCACTGACATATAAAAAAGAAGATGTGGTATGATTGCCAATGAGACAACTCTCCACAAGAGACCAAATGACACAGAGATTAACAACAATAGGTCACCGTACGGCCTTCAACAATGAGCAAAGCCCAAACACAGAAATAAAATGTACACTGGTTTTACATAGTTTTGTGAGGACAAAAAGGATAAATTGTTCAATTATTTGAGTTTTTCTTCTGCATCAGGTAAAAATTTAATACTGATATACCTTAAATTTCTTGATTTTAATTAGCACACAATGTTATATCAATCCGCTTTCTAAAATCTTAATATTTTTTGATAATTATAAAACGTACTCTATAAATATTTGAATTACGACCATTCAATCAGATACTTACTTTTTTATTGATGATGTATTGTGGTTTTTTTTTTTCTTAAAAAAATCCTTTGCTTTATATATCAGCAGTCTAACATTGTTTTCTTGAGAAAAAAATAATCGACTCGAATGTCTGGTATAAAAATTGTATAAAAGATAATTTTACCTACATATTTGACCCCATTTTATTTTATTTCTTGTTTGTTATATATATCATGTACTATTAATATAAAGATTTGCAATGTTCAAAATGTTTTTTATAATTTTTTCTCTTTCGTCTTTAATCAGTAGGCTATTTTCCCAAGGAAAATGCCTTAGGGGATTGTACACTTCGTTAGTGAAGTTATTAAGAGTTCACTTTCATAATTAATCTACAATGAAAAGTCATTCATGTATAGCATTTTTTAGCACATATTTATAACTTCTCGTCCAATCAAATTGCTTATATTTGCCTTCTAATTTTCATAGTACATACTTTTCACGTGTACTAAGTAACTACGCATGAATGACCACAAGGGTAAGATTTCATTGTATCGTAATCAAGATATTTAAAACAAAAATTGCCACTGGCTATTTTGAAATAAAATGCTGTGTTCCAAATTAAATTAAATAGTTTGTAATTAGTTTTCACGTTGATTTTTAAATAGCCTGCTATTAAAATCTTTGGATCTAAAAAATGTTTTTGACAATTGCAAATTTTTTTCATTTAAATAAAGGGTAATACATATGGTTCTTTATACCTTGATTAGAGTACAGCGATATCTTAAAATTATGATAATGTATCATCCATGCAATTACTTTGTACACGAAAAAGTGTGTACTATGAAACCTTGTGAAGGGAAATTAAAGCAACTTGGTGATAATTTTTTAAACTTTCTTAAGGAAGGTGATCTATTTCGTCATGAATTGATTGATTTATTGATTATCGGTTGCTTAATTTCCAGTGGCAAATATTTCATGCAAGTTCAGAACGATGTCATGAATTGAAAAACTGTGATTATGTCCGAAGATAATGTGCCAATTATATATATAAACATATTCTGATAAATCTTTTAGTTTTTACTTTGAAATAATAAAAAAAAAACACAAAAAAACACAAAAAAACACAAAACCTATAATCTCTGATCTATTTGTAGTTGCTTTTTAATGCGTATCTGCTAGACTATATCTATGGGGACAAACTATATAAAAATATGTTTCAAAATTATTATAGCTTTAGTTTTACTGTGAAATTAAAAAATGTTTTCAACACATGTAAAGCTTCCACTGCAATTTAATTATTGCCTGCTTTTGGTCAATTTATTTGGTCATCTTACCATGTAAGAAGAACATGTATAGTAAAACACCGCTTTATATCAATATACATACTTACACCAGCAGCTACCATCTTTTCATTCTGGAGTCAAGGGCCTTTTGAAATCACATATTTTACAATGATACTAGTGAGTAAATTTACAAAACTTCGTTAATGAGCTCCGTTTTACAAACACCTGTGGTACAAGTAGTCAGCCAAAATAAACTATCAATAGACCAATTAAAAGATTACTCGAGTTGTAAATATGTGCTAAATTGGATAGTCTATGAAAAGGTATATACTATGAAATTAAGAGCTCGGGGCAAGCCCCTCGCTCTAAATTTCATAGTATATACCTTTTTATAGACTAACCTAGACATAGTGCATGGAAAGCCATGTACTATGAAAATTCGAAGGGAAAAACAGACTTTTCATTGGACGAGAAGGGGTGAGTATGTTCTAAAAAATGCTTTACATTGTAGATTAATTATGAAAGGGAACTCTTAATAACTACACTAACGAAGTGTACAATCCCCCGAGGCATTTTCCTTGGGAAAATAGCCTACTGAGTATATAAAGATGAAAGAGAATAGAATTATAAAAAAAACATTTTGAATTTTGCAAATGGTACATATATATAACAAACAAAAAATGAAATGGGGGCAAAGATGTAGGTAAAAAAATCTTTTATTCAATTTTGATACCAGACATTCGAGTCAATTATTATTACTTTTTCTTTCAAGAAAACAATGTCAGACTGCTGATATATAAAGTAAAGGATTTGTTTTCGGAAAAAAACCACAATACATGTACATTCATCAATAAAAAGTAAGCATCTGATGTAGAAGGTTGTAATTCAAATATTTATACAGTGAGTTTTATAATTATCAAAAAATATACAAAATCAAAAATGCTGATTTATATAAAATAATGTGCTTTTTAAAATCAAGAAATTTAAGGTATATAAGTATTAAATTTTCCCTGAAGCAGAAGAAAAACTCAAATGTTTGAACAATTTATCCTTTTTGTCCTCACAAAACTATGTTAGTGCTATTTCATTCCATCCATTGTAATGGTCATTACCTATGTTATACATTCTTTTTGTTAATTCATTATAAAAAGTTAATTCTTATCAAGGTTTGAATATTACAATGGGAAAGGATAATTTTGTAAGGTCACTCGCAAATGTGAATATTTTCTAAATTGGTCAGACAATACTTGGTCATGTTTTATGAACATTTAAAACCCTCGGCTACGCCTTGGGCTTTAAATCTTCATAAAACATGCCCAAGTATTGTCTAACCTGTACATAATCCCTTTCTCTTACATATACTAATTAGTTAGTTTTATTTCACATTATAAATGAGTTGTAGTGCGTATTAAAAGCTGAACGCACCAGAACAGAATATCCCACTTTAGTTTAATCGGTAAAATATGATGCAAATCTTGTAAATCTTTGCAGAAAATAATATTTGTTGACGGTATATAAGTCAGATAATGCATATTTTAAAAAAATATGCATAATCTATAACATAATTTACGATCAGCTGGAGAACAAAGTAGTGCAGTCTTCCTACGCCGTACAAAGTAGTGCAGTCTTCCTACGCCGTACAAAGTAGGGTTCATATTCATATCGTATCAGCATGTTGTCGTCTTGTATATGTATTTAATTTGCCACTAGGCATCACCACCAGAACCAATCACCGATTTTGTCCTTCTATTTGAAATTAATATACAATTGATTTTTTTTTATATTTTGAGAGATGCCTATTGTAACGATTATCATTTTAAGATTTCTATTATTCGAGCTGTGTCGGGTATATATTGACCTTATCCAAATAAATATCAATACATCTGTTAACCTATTTCGGGTCGAAAAAATTTCTACGGAAAGTCTGTAACTGTTTGAAAATTGAGTTGTTATAATAACCCTACAAAACAGATCCAAGTTGATCTTTTATTTCGTATATGAATGTTCAAAAATCAATCAAAGTCTTATACATGTACATGTATACGTCGACTCGCATAAGGTCGATTTATATCCCACGCAGCTTATTTCATGTTTTTTTTAGTTTTTGTACATTAAATATTTGTTTTTACATCACTCTCTCTCTCTCTTCATATTTACAATTGTTAAACCGTTATCTGAGTTTGTATGAAAAACATCGCCTTTAAAATTAAATATATTTAGTCATTTCAATTTTTTTGTTTGTTTGCTTTCATGCAAATATGTGTGAATGATTATCGTTTAGACAAACAGTTTTATTTCTTTTTAAAAAAAAGTACCGGTTTCATTCAAAAAAAAAGTACCGGTTTTCATTAAAAAAAAACTCAGTTCTGTCAGATTTAAAAATAACATGTCTACTAAAATTAGCCTGAACGGATTCAAACGGCTTCCTAGTCGGAATATGAGCTAAGTCCAGGTCGTAAAACATATAGTGTTTTTTATTTTTGTTTTTTTCTTCAGCTAACCAAGGACGTATAACTAACATACTAATATACGTCCTTGAGCTAACGGTGTCAAGGATAAAACATAAAAGGACAAACATAAACGACTTGCGGGAAGGCGGTTAACTGGCTGTGGACCAATGAAAAATACTTTTCCTGAAAGATAAGTACACAATATTACAAATACATATGCATAACTATAAGTAATCATAGCATAGGCGGATCCAGGGGGGTCCTCCCTTTTGTGGGAAAAATTTGGTTGATTATATAGGAAATCACAAGAAGTCATGAATATTCAAATTGTATTTGTTCAACAATCATGAATATTCAAATATGTAATTGGTCAATTTTAACATGTACATGTATAATAACGTCCTTGAACAATCCTATAAATTCGCCCGCAAAGATTTACTTTTTTGTCAGTTTTGAGATCTTCAGCATTGACGGTAAGTGTCTTTTATTAATTGATTCATTCATTCAGCTTTATAATCAGAGTTTCTAAAATACTGATGGTTGTTTTTTTAAATTGTTTGGAATTATGAATTGCTTAATTTGGATAACAGTTTTAGGTTCATTTTGGTCAATAAATCCTCCACGTGTTTCGGTATTTATACATCCTTGGTTTTAAAATTTTTGACTATATGCGCTTTTGATGAAGGTAACATAACTTCAAAAACCACACTCCTATTTTTAGGACATTCAAGTATTTAAAGGAATTTTTTAAACTGAAGCGGATTTTATATGAAGATACTAAATTTATATTTTGTGATTTTCATGTAAAATTATTTCAGTTAAGACATAATTTGAATAATATAATTCTTATTATAAGTTCATGAACAGTTATTGTAAGATGCTAGTTTTAACAGAATATATTTTTCTTTTCAGAAATTTGAAAATCTGGTATTAAAGATGGCAGTTCTTAAGATGATATTGCTTGTCTCAGCTTTTCTTGTCATACGGGCCGAGGAGGAGAGTAAAGGGCATATACACAAGAAAATGGAAACGGGTTCTGATCCTGAAACGGAAGCCTCAGATAGACTACTTCGACGTAAACGGGACTACTACGGACAATGCACGCCCGTAAGCACACCATTTACTGTCGACGGAGGCGGCAATACTGTTTTTTTGGACCGTCAAAGTCCAAACTGTGGGCTTACCGCTATGAGATCATTCCATTTGGTACGAAACGGAGCCGGAAACCGGGTCAGATATGATTTAAGTTGTTGTAGCCTACCTCGTGATTTCAGCTGTACAACCGAATCACGACACACGATGTTCAATTTTGATGGGAAAGGTAAAGTGGTATATTTGGATCGTCATCAAGTAGCATGTCCCCATAACGGATTTTTAAAGCAGTTTCACCTGAACCGCAATGGAGGTCACGACATGTACAGGTATACTTATTCTTGCTGTACACCAAATGTGTCGGAGCGGGCAAACATGAAATGCACGTCCCACAGCACACCAGCTAATTCTGATGGTGGTGGAAAGAATTTCGTATATCTTGATAGACACCAAGTGACCTGTCATCTTGGATACTTCCTGAATAACTTTCAACTTGTCCGTCCAACTCATCATACAATACGCTACAATTACAGATGTTGTGCATATATTCGGAACCAATGAAATCCTTATGCACCCACAAAACCTCATGATCTCAACAACCCGAAGTGAAATGCTGATGATGTTGAACTTTGAAAATATAACTGCTTGATTTAGAATATTGATATTGTATTATATTTGATATCGTTATTTTTATTCAGATTAGGAATCTAGGGAGGAATTGTAAAAAAAATCCTTTAGTTTCAAAATGAAGGTTACCGTGAAAATAAATTACTTTTTAAGAAAAAGATTCAAACCTTAAACTTTACTTATAATGAAAAAAAATATTTACCTTAAGATTCTTTTCAAAATGCCTATTATGACTCCTTGCTAATATTGTAGTACTTCTGAAATAAATATTCATGTTTGAAAAATCGCTTTGATATATTAATACACTATACAATAAATGCTTCATTTCATTCAGTATACTTATTTGTTTAGGGGCCAGCTGAAGGACGCCTCCGGGTGCGGGAGTTTCTCGCTGCATTGAAGACCCATTGGAGCCTTCGGGTGTTGTCTGCTCTTTGGTCGGGTTATTGTCTCTTTGACACATTCCCCATTTCAATTCTCAATTTTATTCATTGGAGTCTTTGTTATTGTTGTCATTATATGTCTGTATTGCCATGAAGAATATGATAGAAATACCCGGATGTTGCTTCAACATACAGACGGTAACATTTGTGAGCAGTAGACTCGGCTGGTTGGAATTAATATAGATATACCAAAATTAATTGAATGTGAATAAACATGAACACATTTCCAATACTGTCTATTTACCGTTTCGGTGGTCTCGTCATAGTGAGCTCGCCTCGAATGATAAAGGTCTTTTTATAGAAATCCCAACACGTCAAATCAAACTCGAGTCCGTTTATAAATTTTGAAATTACAAAGAAACTAAGGTTTCAACTCCCTCAGGCAAAGTTGACCTTAGATGGATTTGGCTATTTGTTTCAGGTATTTTTGTCATATAGCTCTTCAACTGTTTCGGTACTTATACATCCCTCGGATTTCAAATGTTTGGCTTTGAGCGTTCCTGATGAAGGTAAAACCAGAAAAGCGCTTCGGACGCACAAAATTATTAAACGTGTTGTTTTCAATTTTTTAGACGTGATACTTTGTCATAAATCAGGCCTCTTGTTTTTGTCGTTACATGAGTCTTACATTGTTTCACATTTTGTCTTGCCACAGCCTTGCATAACTTACTGTATGGTATAGTATTTGCTCATTGTTGAAACCGTACGATGACCAATATTGCACGTGCTTTTGTCTCTTGTTGCTATTGTCTCATTGGCAATCATAATAAATCTCTTTATTTTAATATTTAATCATCTTCTCAATCAAGCACGCGGCAGTTAGGCTCAAATCATCTTAAGTGAGCGCTCAATTTCGGGAGATCTTCAAGCGGGGCTTCGACATGCAAAAGAATATGAAGATGCTGAAAGTAAAATTTGATTTACACATAAGTTACTATGTAAAGTTTCTGCTTCAAGATTTTGCAACGAAAGCATTCGATGTGTATATGTAAATCAATAAAAAAAAAATTAAAAAAAGACATATGCACCCAAAAGTTTTCCTTAGAATTGTGGATCTTCGAGTAAATCGATCAAAACTATCACACAACATCGATTAAAAAACATACAACAACCAATATAACTGTTGCTACAACAATTTTAACATATGACCCTTTTTTAATATATATCATCTATATATAGTCTTACTTCTCCGAAAGTTTAATAGCCATTAAACCATAGCCATTTAACTGTTTTTATTACCAAATTCCTACTTAGGGAGACTGTATTAAAATCTAAACCCTTGAACAATGCAGATAACGTTATAGTGCCTTTGTGTTTTTAATTTGTTCAGCATTTCATGACGTTGAATTATACATTAGAGCTTAGGTGTTCTCTTTTTAAAAGTTTCACTCTCTGACTCCAGCCTGTCACTTATTGATCATATCAATATGAAAAGCAGATGTGTCGACTAGTCTCATTGGCAAACAAACGATTCAGTAACTAAATCCTGATCTTTTCATATATTTAACAAAGATGCATCTAATCCTTCACATCTCATTAAATGTCCCTATAATAATTTAAAATAGTACTGCTTGAGCTGTATATGAAGGTCATGTTATTTCAACAACAACAAAATAAATTCGTTCATTACTCACAATTGTATTTCCGTTTTAATTTTTACAGGATATAATATTTTTATCGGTGCAATTTTCATTTTAATAGCCTTTTTGTGCTGATGCGGCGTAAAGCAATGATTATCACCAATTTCATCAGAGTTTATCTGTTTTATAGTCCATTATCAAAAACATTGTCAAGACAGAGGATGAAACATTCAAGTTAAAGTTGTTTGGCAATAGAAAACTATCTTTCCTTAGACGAGAAAATTATTTTGTTAATCAGAAAATTAATTTAATAACTCGGTCATAATCAGCAGAAAATTTGCAACACAAACGTGATACAATTTTTCAATATTGATTTTCTCGACGTCTTATGATAATAAGAATACAGGTTTTGACGCATTATCTTGATTCGCAAATGAAAATTAAATTTTAAATTAATGTACAACATTCTGTAAAATTCACAACATTTTCATAAATTTTCAGAGCATCAATAAAAAGAACTTTCATAAATTCATCACACACAGAACAATGTGAAAAACGTGACATTCATCTTCAAAAATATTAGCATTTCGGTTGCGCCTTTCCGGACCAACCAGTAGCTTGTAATCCAATGGTTCTCCTTGGTTGTTACACACCATAAAACATTGTCGTTTTGTTTTGTTTTTTATAAATCAGACTGTTGGTTTCCTCTTTTGAATTGTTTTATATTTATCATTTTGCGGCTTTCAAAAGCTTATATATAACGGCACGGGCTTTACTCATAATTGAAGGCCGTGTTGAGTAATTTAGCTGTTCACAACCTTTGTTTTTTTGTCTTTGGTGATATTTTTTCTTTGTGGTAATCATACCACATCTCCAACCAATTAAAATCGCATATCTCTTTCGAGTTTCCAGCCTACTAGATACTCAACACGTAAAAGTACTTGAACAGCATTTAGGACCCAAAATTTCGATAGGTTTTTCAAAATACAGCTAACTTAGAGGCACTCTATTCCTGTTGTAGAAAATACTTAGTTTTCGAAAAATGCAAATTTTGTAAACAGTTAATTTATAATTATGATCAAATCAATGATAATTCGTGTCAACACAGAAGTGCAGTAACAGACTTGCATATTGCTTCCAAAACCGTTACCAATTTCAAGCACGCGCCGTTATATAAACGATAAAAAACAGACAATATCTCGTTATTAAATTAGAAATTGGTTATACATTTTATTTTATTTTATAATTATTTTAATACTTACAATGGAAAAGAAAAGATGTGATGATCATTAAATATGCTTTTAACCTCACCATCAATTATATCATTCGAATTCGTATTTTTGTAAGCTTTAAGCCAATGAAATCATCACATTTTAAAAGAAGAAGCATTCCCGCGCTTTATCAAAATTCTCATCAAAGATACAAAACTTATAATTTGTTAAACCAGACGCTTATTTCGTGTACATAAGACTCATGGTGGCAGTGGCTCTCAAATAAACAAATCAATCGCGAAGTGTCGGGCATTGCAAACAATTTATTCATTAAAAGTTTTGCCAAATACGGCTAGGGCCACTCATGCATGGGGGGGGGGGTAGAAAAACATTTACGTATCGAGGATTTAAAAATTTTATAAACAGATATTTTTTTTAGAATAAATGACTATATACATTATAAATGATATTTCCTGTCAACACAATGTGCTACCTCAAACACATATGATGGGTCATATCGCTGGTAAATGGAATAGTGAATTTGAAATTATGAGTTATAAAATAGGAGAAACGATTTAAAAGAGGCCCAAATATGAGTTTTTATGTTGTAAATAGAAATGATTTAATTTTGGATGTAATACGTCTTCTGATTGGCTGAAAGTGTTTTGTGTATCAGCTCATAGACATAATTTTGTCATGTGACCGTGACGTCATCGATGTTTTTTTCATGATTTACCCCTAAAAACTGGAATTTACAATCAAATTATTAGGGATGATTGTTATATATTTTCTGTATATTCGAAATAGCCTAAAAAATGTGGTGCACACTTTTAAATAACACGCTACGCGGGTTATTCAGTGTACACCACATATTTTGCATACAGCCTTGGCTCGTTGAACTACAACTGAAAATCGAAAAAATAATACATTTATTTCATTTATCATTTGAAAAATTACTGATTGAATTCTTTCATAATGGGTGAACATTTGTATAGAAAGCACATAACATCGGCGAAAACCTGTCTAAAATTTGTTTTAAAATCTTCAAATCTCTAATTTCTACTCCATAGATTTTTCTTAAAAAACTGTATGTTCTTAACACATAAATTACTGTTTTAATGATATAAAATAATCATATGGTCACCGACTTAGTTTTTTTGTCTAATAATCAATTTGTTACCTTTTTGGTAGTGACAAACGTCAAAAATCAACGTTTTACGGCCTGCAACGCGATGACGTTACGATTATTTCGACGTTTTGTGGCATTTTTTTACAAAGAACTCAATTTTGAATGACATATACCGTAAAAACGAAGTCCATTAAAACGGAAATTTATGTATCAACAACATATAGTTTTTTAAGAACAATCTATGGAGTAGAAATCAGAAGTTTGATAATTTTACGACAAATTCTAGACGGCCTTTCGCTAGTTTTATGTGCTTTCTATACAAATGTTCACCCATTTTGAAAGAATTCAATCAGTAATATTTCAAATGATAAATGAGATAAATTCATTATTTTTTCGATTTTCAGTTGTAGTTCATCGAGCCAGAGTTGTATGCAAAATTTTACTGAAATCTGTGACATAGTCCATTTACTGTAACTTGACCTTAAATAAAATTATTCGAATTGTTTGTTATCATAAACCGTTATACGCTGAAAACATACATGTTAATGACGAAATAGCAAATGTGAGTATTTAAAGCTTAAATGGGAATTATATTATTGAGTTTAGAAAAATGCTGATACTAGATGATTTTTTTTTTTATATAGTATGTGTAACAAAGACGAATGTAAAAGTTTTAATGCGTAAATATGTATTAAAATCACATGCTTTTGATCTAAAAGCCAGTTCTAAAGGTTGCAATTCTAGTTACACATTAAATATAACACATTTCAAATTTTGTGCGTCCGAAGCGCTTTTCTTGAAGTAACGTATCAATTAATATTCTTTTGCAGTTTTATAATGAAATAAGATATTTTTTAAATGAATCCGAACCATGTTTCCGTTGGTATTGAATGATATTTATTTAACAAGGCTGTACACTTCCTGTATACATCAAACTACAATTTTATAAATAAACTAATATCCATC